CACTCTCACACCCTCTCAAACACACACACACACACACAGACACAGACACACACACAAACACACACACACACACTCTCTCTCTCACACACACACACACACACACACTCTCTCTCTCTCTCTCTCTCTCTCACTCACACACACACAGACACACACACATTTATGTACACAAACAAACTATATTGAGTATTGCAGGCTTTCTTTCTTTCTCACAGAGATGAACTTTATCATCATATGATTGAGGCTCAGATCAGTGAAGCCTACCGTTCATTCAGTTACAAAAATAAATTCAAAACCTGTGCTAACTGAAGTAAAACAAGTTGACAGAAATATGGAATCAAATATTTGGTCATAATATAGCATAGTGAGATTTATAAGCAATTTTTTAATATGGCGGTCAATTTTCACTGTAAACACTACAAGTGTGGCTTTGTTCAATTTTGTGCAAAATAAAAGCATTTCAAAACAAACTTCCTGGCTAAACAAAGCACACTAGTGTGATAAACAGTGCAAATTTATTTTCATATTTTATTGAATATTTGTGGATAATTTTGTCAATAACACTTTTTTCACTCAAAAACTGAGGTGCATAAAATCAGGTTAATGACGCCTATAATCAGTCAGCTCCAAAAACAAGTACAAATCCTGTCCTAATTGCAAGTAAACAAGCTGACTGGTAATAATACAGCATAACAAGAGATTTACAAGCATTTTTTAAAAGGCCAGTCATGTTTTACTGGGAACACCAAAGGTGCTATAGGTTTTTTTTTAACAGAGTTTCAGAGCTACCTGCTTGTCGATTCCTCAGGTGATCTGGAAATGACTGGACGAGGCACAATTTAATTGAATAAAAGTGTTTCTAAATCTAACAAAGAACTAGTGATGAATGAGTGTAAACAGTAAACACAGAGTTTGATCCCCAGACACCGGCTGCTATTCTCTGTTAGTCTGTGTGTGTGTGTGTGTGTGTGTGTGTTTGTTTGTGTGTGTGTGTGCGTTTGTGTGTGTGTGTGTTTGTGTGTGTGTTTGTGTGTGTGTGTGTGTGTGTGTGTGTGTGTGTGTGTGTTTGTGTGTGTGTGTGTGTTTGTGTGTGTGTGTGTGTGTTCTGTATTTAGTTTCTCTGCAGCTTATGTGTCCTGAGGGAGTCAATAGATGTAATTGTGGCTGTAATTAGGGGATGTGACTGGCATGACATTAACATAATGGAGGGACAAACACAAATGAGCAAACACAGGGGCCGTTATCTTAAACACTTTAGACCCTCGGGACCGCTGCCTTAATCTGAGCTTCAGTCTCCAGTAACTCCATTCACACTGATGTGTTTGTTCACTCACACACTGCCCTGTACACCTTCACCAACGTCTCTACTTATGACTCGTGTCAAAGTTGGTTTATTGTAATTTCTTTTATGATATCTGGAGGGAACAGAGATTTGAAGCGGTGATAGGATGGTGTAGAAGCGGTCTGTGTTCTGTATGCAAGCATATACAACTTGACGCAGGTGGAAACCAGTAAGCAATGAAGTTAAAGAGGTGTAACATGCACTCATTTGGGCTCATCGAAGACCAAAAAATATAGTTTTTGTTTTGTTTAAAGAGTATGCATTTGCCTATATGTGAGAGTATTGACTTAAGAGTGAACCCCCAATGAATCAAGCATTAAATAAAGCGAAATGATGGGGAGCAGAAATAGTGAAGTCTTGATTATTCTGGTTGGGGTATTTTGACAGGTTTCTGGGCACTGATTGGGTGCTGTGGTTGATTTCTAGGCAATAGGGGCTTTCATATCTACTGCCTTTTCCAGAAAATTACCAGTAAATAGACGTGCTAAATAGACGAAATTACTGGAAATCTTTCAACTACTGTTCATTCTCAAGTGTCTGAACTAGATGTTGGTCAATGACACAAGCTCCAGAACTTATTGCTGGCTGTTGAATATGGACATACAGAGTTGAACGGATACAATAGGCTATAATCAAATGCAAAATAATTATTTTATTTACATCTCTTATGCATTTCAAATTTGTGAAATCATCTCTGTCTATGATTGATGCCTAACTTATGTCTAACTGTAATCACACACACCTGTCTGTAATTTCCCTGAAGATCCTGATGAACTGCTCCATGATGGATTAGAGTGTAATGAACTCTGCAGGACAGAGCTGAATAGCTTTGATTTACATTTTCGCCATGAGAAATCA